AATCAGTGAGTTACGACCCTTGTTACGAGCGTCACTCAATCGATGACCCTGTAACTCCTCACTCGTCCAAGTCAGCGAGTAACGTCCCGAGGCATGGCCGTACATCCCCGATCAAGTCGCAACTTTGGGATTTTCTATAAAATGAAGAGACGGGTCGTAACCCCCCTCGCCAGACATCATTCCCTCTTTCCCAGGAAACCTGTCCCCGTCGCACCTCCCCTTTGCATTTTTGCAATTTTCCGGCGCTCCCAACCTCTAATTCCGGCATCGCCGAAAATTACCTTCGGCGTCTGGTTTCCTTGTGCTCTGTTCTCCCATCATCTCCCTCACCTTGTTCTCCCAATCGTGTCTCCAGGTCTGTTTCTGTGATTGTGGAGACTTGGATTATAGGGTGTTATGGAGATCATAGCATGTCTTTGCATGATTAGATCGTTTAGGGGGGACAACATGTCAATGCTTCGTTGCTTGCACTACCTATGAGAATGTGTTTTCTGCCTTATTAGTATCCCGGTGCTACAGGATTTCATACTGCAGTATAATTTCGATTGAGCTTAACTATGGGGGGATGGTTTGCTCCTCTCCCCTAGTTAATTTGGTAATAACGGATCTCGAGGTATGTGCTTAATTGTGTATGCAGGAAAATGGTCAACCTGGATCACCCTTTCTTGTAGGGCCTTCGCTACCACGTGGACTATGATGCCCCTTCTGGCAAGATGCGAGAAGCACAGGTTGGTGGCCACTACTGCCTCAACCTAGCCTACTTTGAGAAGTTTAATTGTCATGACGCGATTCAGGCGGCCATCCCACACCCTCAGTGGCGGCAGTTACTGGAGCTCTAGAACAAGTTCTACAAGGAGCTCACCATCGAGTTTTACGACACTTTTCGGCACTCCCGGAAGAAGATGAGCTACCACGACGGCGCCGTCTCTTTAAGGTAGGGTGGCCAGCCCCACACTTTGACCTACTGGGAGTTCTCTATCGCGCTAGGTCTAGACCCAGCCTTGATGTACCGCTTTGAGCCTGCTCTCCCTCAGGAGGAATTCCAAGGCTTCTACGAGCCCATCTGCATGCACCAGTACTTGGAGGTCCCTTCCGCGTACAGCCGTACTAGGGCTACCCAGCTTTAATCACCATGGCGTTTCATCCAGGCTTTGCTCACTCACTCTGCCATCCCTAGTCCGGAGGCCTTCTGTGAGGTGACCAAGCGACACATGTACGCGCTCATCACGATGTCCCGCCCCGACAACCACTTTTGTTTGGGTTCCATGCTGGCCATCTCCTATGCTCGGGTGTTGGGTCACGCAAAGGTTCTAACAATGCATGGCAAGCCCTAGCTACCATGGGGATGGTCCGGGTGTCCCGGATGGATCCCACTCTCCGTTGGCTCCAGGGTTTGTGGCCTGCTGAGTTCTTCGACCCAGAGTAAATATAACCCGTTGATTACAAGGTTCTCCCACCACCACCTCTTGGGCGCGTGCCTTATCACCACTATGGAGACACATCCGGTTTTGGTTCTTCTTCGGCTGCGTCATCAGACAACTGTTGGATGGCCATGGAGGCTCGGTTTGAAAGGATCGAGGTGCACATTAACCATGATAGGGACACCCAACGCTACTCTCATTTCCTTCTCGAGTGGTTGTACACGGAGGCCGACATTACTTACACCCAGACCTTCTTGCATCCTTCTCCTAACCAGGATGGTGATGCTGTTGAATGAGGCTGCCCTTTGACCATGGGCTCCATGTGTTCTATTTTATGTTTTTCGTTTGTATGTGTCGAACTGGATATTTCTATGTTTTGTTTTTCTTTTCTTCTTTTTGAAGCCATGGGGATGACAACTGTTATCCTATATCTTACCTAGTGTGAGTGGTTGTGTTTTGACTTGCTTTGATTCTCAGAAACTCGTCCTTCTCGCAGTCTTCTCTTGATGACTGGTCCCATCTCCAGTCCCACTATAGTCTGGTTTCCCCAGTAACCCTGCTTCCCTTATCTTTCCCTCTTCTCCATTGAGGGCGATGTCAATCTTAGGTATGTGGGTGTTCAATTTCGACTGCTTAGATGAGTTCATGTGCTTGGAGCCTAGTCCACTACCAAAAATTTATTATTTGAGGACTCCAAGTACGTGTTCCTTGAAATATAATTACTAGCTCAATATGCTTTGAATTGACAACCTTTATAGTACTAGTAAACCTAGGGAGGTAGTTGTAGCACTATGGAGGATGGTGAAGTATAAGATCGGTCATATCTTTCTCTTTGTTGTGTCGGTTGATTGTGTGAACTAGTAGTTTTAGGACCTTTGATTCAAGTGGTATCGATGACTCCCCTTATAATGTGTTATGGACACATGTATCGTAAAATGGTGCTCAGTTATGTGTAATAAAAATCAGTTGACCCTCCAGGTCAAAAAATTTGAAATTTTAAAAATGGGGTAAGCCCAACATGTATATGGCACCGTTCATTGCAAAAAATCGGGTTTTGAAAGAGATTTTTGTGATCCTTAGTGGGATGTACCCCTAAAAGGTGAAGCTAAACCGTCTCTAATACAAGTAAAAATTTCACTGATAGAACGGTTTGCCTACTCGAGGATGTGTTTTAAGGGCACGGATAGAGCTTTCGTCCCCCGTTAATTTAATTTACCCTCCATATGAATCGAGGAAAAGGAGTTAAAAGAAGTACTCTGGCGAGCGACAGATGTACAAAAATTTTTGTTGCTCAACCAATAAGGGTCGACCGCTGTAGTTGGGAACCCTAGCAAAGTGTGAATGCGAAAAGGAAAAAAAGGAAAAATATAATAAGGAAAAGGGGTTCCAACTAATGAAATGAAATGGAACAGCACCCGATACGAAGAGTCTTGGGTTGTTGTGTTGTGTAAGTCTCTTTATCCATGAATTGTATATCCTAGGTCCACTACTTCGCATGATCCTGGTTTGAGTGTAGTACTCGCATTGAGAGAAATAGGGCATGTCTTAGAAAACAGGTTGACCTCGTAAACTGCTAAATGACCTAGAAAGTCCTCTACCGACAATCGGAGTTGCAAATTTATCTTTAAATTAAGTTAATAACAAGGAATGCAACATTTTGGTTTGTTCCTTTCCCTTTTCTCATACGAATTCTCTCTACGAAAATAAAGCCCAACATTGAAAATAAGAAGTTAAAGAAATTGGATCAAGTCGCATACAAACAAATAAACTTCTCTTCTTATTTGCTCAAAATGTTGAGATTTCTAACATTTCTTTTCTCTACTTTTTTGCAAATAGATACAGAAAAGTAAATAGTAAGGCATATTGAGTTTTACTCTTTGTTAGAGAATATGAGGTTGGAGTTACACGAGACAATGATTATATGGGAAACAATATTTGCTTATTTTTTAATTAATTGAAAGATATTTGCTTATTTAATTTTTTTAAACTTCTTTTTCACTATTGTGTGTTAAAAAATTAATGATCTCTTATGTTTATATCCTAAGTTGTGGGGTTCAATATCAACTTATAAATCAATAAAGAAAGATCTACCGAGAGTACATTTAATAAAATCAAATATTCATAAATAAACGAAAGATATAAAAGTGTAACAATACCTAAAATCAAGTAAGTAAGATAAACAATTCAATGTATAATAACATACATGAATCATAAGAAAAATTAGAACGAAAAATAAAACACCAATACGAATGTGCCGCCCAACGGGTGAAATTTGGGGTATCTCCTGCTCATAATGATAATTATGAAGCGAGTGCATTGAATGCATCCAAAAAAATTACTGCACCGAAAATATAAACATAGTGAGATACCTCTATCAAGACAATCATAACTCGAGTTTGGGGTATGGAAGTCGTATGCTAGCCTTTACTATATATGTGCGTAACTTGTGCAAGCTATAAAGGGTTAATCCGAATAAGAGTTAAGCTTAGAGAGTTCTACCTCTCTCGTGAATTAGTCTTGGCAAATAGAAAAAACAAATTAAATTTTATTGTACTTTAATTTGGTGGGTTAGTTGGACCAATGATGAACTGTAACCCACAGTTCAAGGGTTTTACTTGTAACTCCCAAGCGAGAGAAATACGTTGGTGTCTGTAAAATTTTGATTTATTAATTGGATACAGATCTAATGCCGAACTTACATATTTATAGGACTATAAAATCCTAATACATAACCTAATCCTACCCAAATTCCCCCTCCTACTCGGCTACCCCTTCTCAAAACCCAAAAGGAAAACTTAAACGAAAAGGAAAAACACCACTAGCCCAATCTGAAAATACCCACAAGCCAAAACGTAAAATAACCACATCCATCCTCCCCCCTTGAAATCAACCTTGTCCCCAAGGTTGACCCTCACAATCCTCTTTCTCGAACAAGCACATCACCCTAGCATTACTGCACTTGTATCCGATGTTGAATCACTCATCGCAATTGAAGTACAGACCTTGAGCTCTCTGTAGATGTTGTTCCTCCCAGGTTAGTCGCTTCCCTCCTGGCGGTTCGCGCGATGTTACACTTCCTCCTTGCAATCCCGAGCTTGCAGTTCTAGGCACATATGCTCCACTCCTAGTCCCCATTTCTCATCCTCCTGCAGGTGACGCCGATCGACCCGTCGGCTTATGGAACTGGATCCGATCATTCTTCATCCTGGCCAAGCTAATGGCGTCACGCAAAGACTACGGACGAAAAATCATGATCTCGGCGGCGATCTCTGACTTCAGACCTCCCAGTTACGTGCCTACTAGTTCCTGTTGTGTCCAGCCGAGACACCGGTTAGCCAACTTCTCGAACTCCTTCTAGTAATCACGCAGAGATATGGTTTAACGAATCCGTGATAGGGCTTTGTCGCAACTCTCTCCTTCAGTCGGACCGAACCTCGCCCAAAGCTCCTACGAGGACAACCCTCATGTAATCGGCTCTCCTGCGTCTTTATAGGTCCACTTCAACCACTACCACCACTGGTTTGCCTCTCCCTCCAGATGAAACGCAACTAGTGGTACCTTCTAATCGATTGGAACCTCCTAGTACTCAAAAAACTGCTCCACATGAGGAAACCATGATCCTGGATCCTCTCTAACAAACTTAAGAAACTCCAGCCTAGCGAGTTTTGAGGGAAAAGTCCCTCCAGTGCTGCTGCTGCCACCTCCATCGGCGGACGGCTTACCGCCGTAGCTCCCCCGTAAGTCATGGCGACGACCGTCGCTGCCATCGCCAACTTTAGGTCCGATCGCGTTCCTCTCGCTGATCGTCACCCCAGTCGTACTTTTCTCTCCTTCCTTCTCCTTCGAGGTCTCGTCTCCACTGATCGAGCCCATCGTGGCCTTGCTCTCACGATGTGGAATCCATGCATCCATCTTAGCCATCATCGCCTCGATCGTTCCCTCAATACTTGTATCCCACACCGTTAATGTCGCGAGATTTGCGGTATGCGCCGTGATCTCTGCCTACATCTGCTCCACCACTGCCTCTAACGCCGAGCATCTTTTTGCCGCAGTGTTGTACCAATCTTGAACTGATCCCGAACGGATTCAGAACCAGGCTCTAATACCAATTGATGAACTGTTACCCACAGTTCATGGGTTTTGCTTCTAACTCACAATCGAGAGAAAGATGTTGGTGTCTATAAATCTTTGATTTATTAATTGGATACGGAATTAATGCTGAACTTACATATTTATAGGCTTAGAAAAGCCTAATACGTAGTCTAACCTACCCGAATTCCCGATCTACTCGGCTACCCCTTCCCCAAACCCAAAAAAAAAACTTAAACGAAAAGGAAAAACACCCCAATTCGAAAATACCCACGAGCCCAAACGTAAAATAACCTCGTCAACAAAGTAATCCTAACTTTCTGTTAGTTTAAACACCATAATAATACTATCAGGCGTAATTATGTTATCTCCCCTCAAAATTACTTGTGTGTACATATGTTTATCATATTATTATGAGCATGGACGTAGCCAGTATTTTGTCGAGGGTGGGTCCATTTAGAAAAAAACAAATATGATAAAATAGTTTTGTTAGCATTTTAAATAATCCATGATATAATTTTGTATTTAAAAACTTGATAAGTTAAATATATGTCAAAACTATTAAGAATATCACCTATATATATCAACCAATTATTAATGATTTAGTTAGACATTTGCATTTGAATGGTGTTCTTCGTCAAGACCGTTTAGTATCAATAACTTGAGCTGTTGTGAAAGATTTAATAATGGACTTATACTATGTACTTACTAATACTTCCTCGCTAAGGAAAACCAACTTATACGTGCTTAAATTTTCCGCAAATAAGAATATCATGACGTCAACAAATAGAGTCGCCAAGATTCGAACAGATGATCTCTCGGTCAACCATTCTCAATTAGAAGTGCATTAAATTTTATTCTCAATTCATTATTATACTGTTTTACTCATTTTTGTCCCGAGGAGCCGTCCGTTACGTTCTTCCTACCCTTGATTGACATAAAAATATTTTTATAAATGAGTTATGAGTTGGTATAAATTTGTTCGAGATATTGGACAAATACATCTTTAATTTTGGACGGATCATATGCACCATTATCTGGCTCGTTCTAACTACAACATCTCAATCGACGGCCAAGTATAACTGCCGACCGAGTGTAGCATAGGGCAAGCAAAGCAATAAGAATTTATCGTACCACGGGGATCTAGGCTTACCCTACTTCAGGCTTAGGGCTCGTTATCTAGCCAACCTAGGATAGTGATTGATAGAATTAAACTAACTAACCTAGACTAACCACTAACCTAGCTATTTACAGGGTTTGGAGCTCTCTTGGGTTGAATCGTCCTAGGTCCGTTCTTTGAATCAATGTTGGGTATCCTCCTAGCTCGATCGACTCAAATACACTACCGTTTGGAGATGACTCCCTCGGGAATGTACCGCAATGGAGAATCGATGGATGGGTAGTGCTCTATTAAACCTAGGGTTTTGTATAATGCTAGGAGACCGGTCGAATCAACACCTTTGGGGTCTACTCGGACAATATACGGTAGGAGTGACCTGAAGACACCAAAAGGGGCTCTAAGGGGATTATCTCCCTCCTAGGTCAAAAGCTCAATACATGAAAATGGAAACTCAACTCATGCCATTCATGAAAACATACATCAATTAAGTAAAATCGTCAATCAAACATGGAATGTGTCACATACATCAACATTAACCCAAAATCTAGTCCTAGGGTTCTTAAAACCAAGAGAAGAGGGTGAGTTTCTAGAGAGAGAAGAGAGGGATTACAAATTTGAGTTCAATATCTTTTTCTTCTTCTAGGCTTGAATCCTTTGTCTTCAAGATCCACCCAAGCCTCCAATGATACTCCAAGATCACTCTAGCACTCTCTCTCACACTAAAACTCCCCTTTGGTGTTTTGGGCAAACCTTAGAGAGGAAATTGAATTTCTCTCCAAAAACCAGCTCTCCTCTTCTCTCCCCGGTGTTGTCTTCATATTTGCCCGAAAGTGACCAGCTCACGGACGCGTTGGCCAGTTCACGGCCATGAACACCTGAGCGCGTCCGTGAACTCAGTGTCATCGCCAACACACACAGCTTGACTTCTGGGTTCACGGGCGACAGCTCCAGTTCACGGTCTTAGTGACCGTGAACTACCTTGTCGTCAGTAACTTCTGGAACCTCGTTGGACGCCTCGATGTTCACGGTTTGTGCTTCCAGTTCACGGCCTTAGGAGATCGTGAACTGCCCTTTCTGACTATGAACTGCGGCTTCTTCCTGGATGCTTGCACTTCACTATTACGGGGCAATTGTCACGGTCTTCGGACTTTTCTTCGGTTTTTGCGCTTTTTGACCTCCAATTATCCCAAAATTCGACCTCGACCCTTCCACACGTGCTAGGACCTTAAATGTATCAAAACGAGCACAACCTAGCGTGAAATATGTCGAGGGACGACAAAATACTAAGCTGAACGAATAAGAAATGAGGGGTAAAATGTGTACATTTGGGCCTGAATCATTGCCATTTATACATTACTCGTTATAAAAATATTCAATATGTCACTACACAACTTATAAATCATGCACACATCAAATATTTGAAAGGTCAACTATTCTCATTTAAATATGTATTATTTTTTATACCCGATTAACTATTATAACTAATTTACCATTGACAGAATGTGTCCCCGGATCCACCCTCTAATCTTTTCCCTCCGCCCCTGATTATGAGCACCGTCGTCATTGTTCACTCTATAATTGCATTAGGACTGTAGCAGTTGAGTTCCGTTTACCTAATTAATCCCCTCAACTACTTTCCAACAGAACAAACATCATAGATCCCTAATTATCTGTTGTTTAATTTGAAAAGAGAGAATACTTGCTAAACATGATTACCTTCCGGAGCACGCAACTGCATGGATCGAGCTACCCTAGCGTAAGCGTGAATTGGTGCAAATCAATTGTGGGTGGGTACGTGGAAATCTATTCAATACTAATTGAGACGGGCTGACATGCGCAGCACAGCGGGCAGTCCAGTCCACTCTTCTCTTCCACCTTGCAACTATGTAATCATTTTTTTTTTTATGAAAATCGAATCATATGTATGTATGTATGTATTCTCTCTTTAATTATCTCACCAAACAAATTATTAAGAAGCAATTAAGTGCTTGGCTACAGTGACATCTCAGCAATTATGCCGATCCACCACAAGCTAGCAACTGAATATTCTGGAAGATCCCATCACAACAATAAAATAAAAAAGTCAATTATTCTGATAGATTCGAAACGTAAGGTAGCCACCACAATGAAGCACTTCTACTATGCTATATAGCATTGGTGCTTTAATGTAGAACTCAAAGTTGTACCATAACATTAAATGTATAAATTTAGCTTGTACCATAAAGCAATTTGTACCATTATGTTATGGTACAACTTTACAACTTGAAGTTGTACCATCACATAAAGGTACAAGTTCAAGTTGTACCGTAAAAGAATTTGCACAAAAAGTATAGGTACAATCTGAAGTTGTACCATAACGTAAATGTACAATTTTAAGTTGTACCATAAAGGCAAAAACCTATAGCACCAATACTATATAACATTGTAAAATTTCTCACCACAATGAAGCAAAACGTATTAAAAGAGTAAAGCCAGCACTAGGTTAATTAAAGAAATTACATTAGTTTTTCAGAAGCAAGCATGCTAGGTAGTAAGTAATAATTGTAATAATACGCTAATTATACGTCGGGGGTTAGGAAGTGGTCAATTATATTATGCGTAGCCAAGCCAGCAAAGTGCCTAAATAAAGGAGAGAGAGAGAGATATATATATATAGAGAGAGAGAGAGAGATATTATTTCCATTTCCAGACGAGTCTAAATGTTGTCACTGCACGGCTACAAACAAACAAGCGGCGGAGATTAATTTGGATTAGTATGAATACAGTCATCCTCCCCAATTTTATGTATTTATTATACTGGATTAGTCTAGCTAACTGATCAAACACATATCCCTCCTTGAAATTAATTTTAGGAATTTTATTATTCTCGTAAGCACAACAGCATACAAGTACATGTTGGATTTGTAAAATAACGTGGTTGAGGTACAAGTCTAATTTGTATTATACAGAAATTTGTAAAACAATATATGGATACAAATAGAATTTGTATATCATAAGGTTAAAGTACATATTTAGTTTGTAAATTTGTACAAAAATATATAGATACAAATTAAATCGATATGTATTGTTTTTTATTTATTTAACAAATTTAATTGGTACCATAACAAAAACATGAGATCTTTATTTTTTCGTTATCATTGCAACTAACTTACTCCCCCAGGAATGCAGTGATAATCGAAACGTGATAATGATCGAAACAAATAGGAACGAGACGGATTTACGTGGTTTCTTTGTTCGTTGTGAACAAGACTAGTCCACGGCCAAGCTATCTACTTTTCTTATTTCCCTTAGCCGGCAGCATACACAAAGGTACGTATATATACACAGAATACTAGGAAACCCTAAACCTAGTTGTATTCTATGATCATTCTCGGTAGCTATCTATGGGCCGAGAAAAGCTATTGGGCTAAGGCCCTTACAAGAATGTCGATATATCAACAGCCTCCCCCAAATTGATGCGGAGTCCACATCATCAATTGTCTAGCCAAAAAGGAATGTCGAGCTACTGTGAATGACTTCGTAAATATGTCTGCGATCTGATCTTCCGAAGTGATGTAGAATACCCGGATGGTTCCATCTCGAACTAGGTTGCGAATATAGTGTACATGGACTTCAATGTGTTTTGTACGATCATGCATGACTGGATTTGTGGCAATCCGTATGGCGCTGGTGTTGTCGACATAGAGCTCCATGGGCATTGTACACTCAACCCCAA